ACAACATAATAACAAAAATAGAACTTGCAAGTAAAGATGATTCATCAGAATATTCTTGACACCGTCCTTTTAATCGAACACCGCTTAAAAACTATTACTAACCAAATCGATAATAACATTTTCCTGAGCTATCATTAGCATTCTTCGAAATCCAACGCAACGCCTTAAGAGGTTAGGCCGAACGGTGTGAAATTCGCGTTAACCATTCAATTAACTCTGCTAATTGAATCACGCGACGCGGTAGGAACATTAATTAATCTGGAACAGAACGAGGTTGGCTGGTGGCCGGTGTCTGACTTGACAGAATTTCTCATCGTTCAGCAGAGAACGAGAAAACTTTCCCACTGCGTCATTTAAACGTTCCTGGCTATTTATGAAAACGGTCACGTGATCATTAACGTGTACACACCGTCCAAACTGTCACGATAGCGGTTCGAACAAAAGAGGAACTGTTAGGTCATCCTGGTGATTAAATATTTTAACGAAAATCCAAGGAAATGCTACAGCGACGACGTAATATCAGGTACCAAAAAAATTCGTGCCATTTTTCTATCAACGATAAACTCAAACCAAAATTTTTCACGGTAGTTCACAAATCTAACGCACAAGGCTGGGGTCAGTGGAAGGTTTTGTCTATTCAGTTGGTCACTATAGTCCAAAATTTGAAAAAACTAACACTCGTTAGCAGGAAAAGCGTAAGTTTCGTGCGGTGCTCAGGAGTTTGCCCGCGGGGCGCCACAGGGCAACGAAGGGCATTTTGCCCGCGCCTCCCTAAATCTCACGTCAAGCAATTCTAAATGATCCGATTCGTCGATGATGTTATAGAGTTATAGAGTTGGTCAATAATAACAATACATGTGTCCTATTTGTGCGATTGTGTCGGAGAAGGTGGGCTTACGGGGATACGACCCAATCAGACCCGTATTTCTTCCAGGGGCAAACTCCTGAGCCCTGCACAGTACTTCTTTCGCAGCTTTTCTCTGACTCGTCAAAAAATAAAGGACGTCGGATGAGAAGCTGTACCACATCCTCCTTATAGTCCAGACCTGTCTCCTTATGACTGTCACGTATTTTCGTCTGTGTCGAACTTTTTTTTGCAAATAATCACTTTGAAAACGACGTCGAGATCGAAACAGCAGAAATTTGTCACTTTCTGCAAGGAAAATTAAATATCTTTATAGTAGATGTAGAAATGCATTCTTCTCGACTTTTCAGATTAATCATCCAAATCATTTCCATTATTGTTGATGACCTGCTATTTTTTTGACAGTTAGAAAATACCATCGCAATAGACACTCGGTGGATTTGAATTAATTATGTGAATTCAGTCGGAAAGAATTCATTTCTCTGTGAAAATTGGTCAAAATTGTACCCAATTCTTTTGGTACCCAATTCTTTTGGTGCCCAATTCATCTGGTACCCAATTCTTTTGGTACCCAATTCTTTTGGTGCCCAATTCATCTGGTATCCAATTCTTTTGGTACCTAACTCTTTTGGTGCCTAACTCATTTTGGTGCCCAATTCATCTGGTACCTAATAGAAAAAAGTTGCGTGAATAAGAAGACATTTATGTTTTTTCTCTCCTTTATCAAGTTTAAAGGTTCATTGGAAATATCGATCTGAATTATAAAATTCCAACAGGAAGTTGTGGAACGTGATCTAATAGTTCATTGTAACTCGTTTTCTGATCGGTGTATTTTACGCTTTGGTTACATTGTTTCGATACGTGACTGTCGCAAACAGTTGACTCTCTGTGTCCCCCGTTTCGAATTCGACGGGTCTTTCGATCGTTTGATTAAGGAACCGCTGTTAGATTCGGTGCAACACGGTTGGCGGACTACTCAAACTGTACACGATGTAAATGTAGACGGCGACAACCGCAGCGAACGTGGCCAAAGTGAAGACAGCAGTTTCGAATCCTACGTGGACAAAATTGAAACTGACGGTGAAACTCGATTTCTAAATAACAGGTCCGCTTTAATGTATGTACATTGGCCGCTGAAAAAGTTTAAAGCACCCTTTTGTTGTGCTCCTAGGGTAAATCTCTGGCTAATCTTTTTACACCTGTACACTACTTTCTTGCTACTTTTTATCGGCACGTTGGTTTACTATTGATTTTAAGTATTTGCATAACCTTGTTCGATTATTTTATTGGAAGGTGTGACAAATCATTCAAAAAATTATTCTTTTTTGTATTAAGTCTTGCAAAATTTGTTCAATATGAGAGGTTTTCTTGGGTAATTTTTAAAATAAAGAATGTTACAAATAAATTCGTGGACAGTTAAAATAAAGAATGTTATAAATAACTTTTTACGAGTATCTAAATTATTTTAGAGAGAAAATTGCAATATTGAAGAATATGATTTTTAGGATCAGAATCTGATTAAATTATTGTTGAATGAATTGGATAAGAATGTAAGAAAAATATTTTCATCTTTAAAAATGATATTGGGAAATATTTATAGTGAGCCTAAAATACTGAAATTATACTGCACCAAAATTATAATTTCTAGTTTAAATTGCACCTGAATAAAATTTTCCATAAAATTATTCTACTTGTTCAAAAATCTCTAGCAAATAAAAAAGTCGATTATTAGATTACAAAAAGAGTGCTTTAAATTTTAACGCAACAGCGTAAATACACACACAGAACAGTGATTAAATACTTGTCGTCAATGGAACAAAAAAGAAAGAAAGAAAAAAAAAACACATCGATAAAAATTAAACGAAATTTCTCTGGAGCGTTTAGCTCGGTTGGGGAAAAGACTCGACGGTCTACACCGAATAACGATACTCTTTTACATCGATAATTTGACGCACTGGGATCGGCAATAGCTCTTCCTATTGTTCTTTCTCTTTTACTATCTTTAGATACGTTTGCTCGGGGAATATTAGATCGACACCAGAAGTAACTTCCAGTTTATTTCCGTGAACCTGGGAATTGTGTGCACGGGCTGTAAACAACAATTCTCTTTTTCATTTTTCATCGATGATTGATCGATTCTCGACTTTGCCGCGCGCGCGACGAAAGTTTGTCGACCCAGAGGGGAACTTTTCCAGGAAGACTTTGTTTACGAAATTTTCAACGACTACCGGTGGACAGACCTAATAATGGATACTACACCGTTACATAACTTTCGGAGCAAGAAAGTGTTGTAAAAGTTACAACATTACATAGGTAGGTAGGTTGAACTTTATCCATGTACAATTTAATGACTTTTGTTAAGTTTCTCGGGAAATAAATTGGAGGCATTAAATGTAAGAATCAGGGCTGTGAAACTTACTTAGAATAGTCGAACTACTCGAGTAATTCGGATAATTTCGAATACGAACTCTTTATCTGGATAATTCGGATAATTTCGAATACGGATAGTTTGGATAATTTCGAACACGAATTCTTTATTCGAATGATACGAATAATTGGAATATTCGAACAATTTGACTAATTCAAAGAATTCGGGTAATTGGAATATTCGAACAATTCGAATAATTCTGAGAATTCGGGTAATTGGAATATTCGAACAGTTTAAATTTCGTATATTCCACTTACACGATATTCAACAATTCATCTGAATTCCATTCGAATACACCGAATATTCGAATTTTCCCAAGAGCCCTAATAAGAACACTAAAATTAGAATGTTCAGAAGTGAAACACACGAAATAAAATACTTTTAGTTACGATATGAATACAATTAAATCTAATTTCTTAATTCATCGATTCCTTTCCATTTCTGAACTCCTGGAAATAAACTGGAAGGAATACTAGACTTCGCAAATCTCCTAAGAACGATGTAACATTTCAATCACAATAATTTTATGCTTTGCTGAAGATCCTAGTGCGCCATTTCAGGGTTCACTTCTCAATCGTTCGTGAAATTCAACAAAGCCGATTACAAACCACGAACTTCGAATTCTCTTCCGACTTTTTATTATCAAAAGGAAGTTAGAACTCGGAGTTTAAAGCATTGTCTGCTTACGAAATTTCTTAGCTAACCGAACCTTATTGTTTTTAATCTCCGATGAAAGAAACGAAAATTTCCTCACTGTCTTTCGCATGTTCATCCCACGATCCTGAATCTGAGCTCGTCGATAGTTGCACCGATTCAATCTGTCTCATGCTGCCTTCGTCTAACTTCTTTGCCTCGTCCTCGAGATTATTCCCGTTTTCAGCTTTTTCCCCTTCGGGCGCTGTTACGGAAGATTACGGGAATCTTTTCATTCTTCGTATTCGAGATACATAATTCTCTTTTCTTTCACTATTTTCGATACTTTATTCGAATTTTATATCAGTGACAATTTTCTGTTATTACTAATACGTATGATTACTCTTTGGAGATTGATTGTATTTTTGAATAATTTAAATTTCAAATTTTTATCTAAATGTTTACTTCTAATTTCAAATTTTATATTTTTAAATTGAATTTTATATCTCTAAATTTTTACTTCTAATTTCAAATTTTATATTTAAAATTTTTGAACGAGAAGTATGAAAGAATATTCAATTCACAAATGTATTTCTAATCACGATTGTCGAATCGATTTCAATGGGTGACGTTCTTATTATTTCGAGAAATTAGAACCATCTTCTACAATTCATAAAATGACGAATTCAATTAATTAATTTTCAGTTAATTTCCCTTGTACTCCATATAAAAATCTTAGCACGATCGCATAATTAATACGATGCAATTTATCTATCTGTTTCATTCTCATATTTCAAACTAAAATATTTAGTTTACCTTTTTCACAATTTTCTATTATCTTTACAATCTAATCAACTGATCACTAATTTTTCATCCACCAAAATAATTCACATCTTCCAATATATCTCATCGCACGAACAAATTTAACTCGCCCCACAAATTTTACCCTAAAAGCTCCAACAGAAAAGCTTCCTTTAATAGCCACGCAAACAACAACAAAAGAAAATATCCCATTTCATGTACCAGTTCACCCATTGAAACCGTTAATTGCGTTTCCCCGCTTCATTTTCGTACCTTCCACTTGGTTTTGTCCATTCGTTTCATCCCCCATGATCTTAAACGCGCCAGAGAGAGAGAGAGAGAGAGGAATCCTCTTCGATTCCCGACAAGAGGTATCCAACAACGGTTTAGAACTCTATCGGAATTGTTGATCGGATCCAAGTGGCCGCGTTAATTCAACTTTGATCGTCGTACCGTCGTTCCGAAATAACGAGCGAAGGAGAAACTAAAAGGAGAATGTCCGCCAATGTCCACGGTGGAAATGCTAACTTTCCGCAACGCTTTTTTTCCCTCTTCCAGTCAGATCCACGCGATAGAGTCGCCAATTGGGACGTCCTTAGTTAGCAGACGAGTCGGTAAATTTACCTAGGGACTCTTCTCTCGAGGCTCGAGCTGTCGTTAAGCACAAAAGGTTTTCCCTATTCCTTGTCCTCTTCCCCGGTTTTCCTTTCGCTGCTGCTCCGTTGTTACCCGGGCCTCGCGAGCAACCGGCTTCTCGATGTCGACGAATTAATCCGTCTCCGGTGATTACGCGGCTAAACGAGTCTTCCACGGAGGTCGACACGTTTCCCCGAGGTGATTTTCTGCTCGAACGATGCAAATTTATGATAAGCGCGAGACGATGCCTGTCGCCGTCGTCGGAGTTCTCGTAAAAGTGCAGGTCTTGGATTCGGAGGCAGCGATTGCTGCAGTAGGTTGCGAAAGATTCTAGCGTATAGTCGGTGGAAGAAATGCAGAGAGATTGTTAACTGAAGCAGTAACACCCTGTCGCTGCTGTTGTCTATAGGCGTTTTGAAAAATTACTCGTACTGTACAGTTTGTGCCTTTTTGGTGCAATTTTGGACTAATTTAATCCTTGATTTCATGTTACAAGTATTTCTATCTTAATTTGGTGAAACAGATGTTAAAATGATGCAGGTAAAATGCTTCGAAAGTGAATGATATCTTCTGAATTGTGCAAATCGTTGATATTAATTATATCAAAGTTTCTTTACTAACCAATTTTAAATAACTGCTGCTATAAACAGTGCTGTGCCCATAATTTTTGTATTCATTAATAGTTATCTATACCCACAATTGTTATATTTATTAATAATTAACTGCTACCAAAATGTTTGTATCTATTAATAGTTATCAACTCCTTCAATTTTTATATTTATCAATAGTCAGCTTTTTCCACAATTTTTATATTCAATAAAAATTACCTGTACCCACAATTTTCATATTTTCCAATAAACACCTGTTACCAAAATTTTTGTATCTATCAATTCCCACAATTTTCATATTTATCAATAGCCATCAATCCCCAAAATTTGCATACACTGCAAGATTACCAAAAAACCGTCTCAAACATTCTCCAAACCACCTCACCTCCTCAACTAATCCAGCCATTTTTCATCAAAGAAAAAAAGAAATTCCCAAGTCGCCAGCTTTCAAACCCCCCCCCCTAACATGCTCGACAACAATTCCACTCTCCCCTCAGATGCCTCTCCTCTGTGTAACAATATTTGCCTGAAAATTTTATCATCGCGTTATCGGCGGGCATTTAAACGAGACACCGCGGGATTCCGTCTGTATTCGTAACTGGAACACCCTCTCGTGTTACAAGCCCGACAAAAAGCCGGAACAAAAGGACAGGAGGAGAGAATCAAGGTCACGGGAGATTATTACCTAAGTGAATTATAAAAAAGCTCTTCGAGGACTGGTTACAGAGGCAATTTTGCGATGCTTGACCCTTCCACTTGCCTCCTCGGCCCGCGTCGATGAATTTTCTATCTCCCTAGGCGTCGTTTGTGTCCTCGTTATCGTTTCCCGCTCGTTCCTCCGCTGTCTCAACTGGGATTTCTTCACTTTCGACCAGTTCTTCTTCTTCTTCTTCTTCCTCCTTCTTCACTTCCGGTTGCTCTTCGACTTGTGACTCGCCGAGGAATTCGACAGCGGACAAACTCGCGGATATCTCCTCTGGACTTTGCGAGCGTGTATCCTCTACAGAGCTTTTAGGGTTCTCTACGGTCGAATTCGTGATGTTGCTGTGTTATTTGGTGATTGTTTTTTTTTAACACGGGTTTTAAGGAGCTGTGTGATTTTTCGTTTTACTGTGGTATTTTATTTTTGGGTTTTTTGGTAGTTTGTTGTGATAGGGGTAGATCGAGTAGAGTTTGTGGTTTTAATTGAATTATATTTTTAGAGATTTTGGGATGGAAGTGAGTATGCGTAAGTGTAAAGGTATTTAGCGGTGAAGTTCTGTTGCTCTATTTTCTTTTTTTTTTTTAAATTTGTTAGTTAATTGACAGATTTCTTTTCGAGATTTTCGAATAGAAGTGAGTATGCATAAGTGTAAAGGTATTTTGAATATTATTCACTTAGGTGATTAATGGCGAAGTTCAAAGAATTGTCTACATACATGTAGATTTTTAATATATCAAATATTACTCATCACAAATATTAAATTTGTAACATGTCAAATATGTTAGTACTAGTCTGCCGTTCCGATTTCGTGCGACAGTCAGGTAAATCACGTGCGATTGTCAATTGGCTTTTCGATCATTTGTGGGAAGAAATTAAATGTAACGTGTTTAGTAACTAGCGATCAAGGTTTAAACGCGGCTTTAACTTCGTCAATTAAAGGCACGTTGTACCTCGTATAAACGGTATCACAGGAATTTTCAGTCAAATTTCATTGGTACGTCTCGTTACGTATTATTTGTGCTATACATCTATTTATGTTGCATAATAACGTTGGATGTATCTTAACCCTTTGCACTCCGTTGTCGCCGCCGCAGTGTTTCGTGCAATGTACAAAAGTAGAAATTCTGAAGTGCTTGATTCACAATCTTTTGCATCTTAAAATGTTAATAAAATTCAATAAAAAATAAGGATCACTACAATTTTTTTTTATGAAAACTGTCAGAAAAATACTCCGACTCAGCGTAGAGTGGGGGTAAAATAAACTGAACGTGTCTCCGTTTTCCACAACAATATATTTTACTCAGAATCTGTATCTACGTTAATCGGGCGTCGTTTGCAAAAGTGTACATCGAAGGTCTCGGGAAGAGTGAGGAACGCGAACAGGCCCAGGGAAAAACCCAAAGGGGCGAGTCACCGTCTTCGGGACGGATTTTCTCACAACACATTTTTTTATGTGCCAATCAATGCATATGAGAATTCACTTCAAAAAAGTGTTAGAGGACTTGGGTCGAAAATTGATTAGCTTAGAAGTTATGAGTTTTGTCGCTCATATACGCGAAACACTGTGCGCCGTGGCGACATTGTAAGTGGAACTAACAGCTCCATTGTCACTGCTGCGGCGACATTGTAAAATATATTTTTAAGAAAAATTGAACGCCTACAAAGTATCTTCCACAGAGGCGCACTCGCGCCATTCTAAATAGTCTCGGAGTAGCTGGTAGCCCATAGTAAAAACGATTCAGAGTTTCTGGTAGGTCATAATAAAAATTGCGAGGAGTGCAAAGGGTTAATAATCTTGGAGACAAATAGGTCGAAATGCAGAATAACAAATAAAACAAATTATAGTTTGTCTCAAATAGGAATTCGTTTTCTAAAAAAACTTTTGCAAGTAGAACTTTTAAACGACAGGCATTGTTAATCAACAGAGTTATTCAGAAATTCTTATAACGCAAATAATAATAATTTTAACATCTGAAATTTATCAAGTCAACGTGTTTCATTGCTCAAACTTAGCAAATCAATTTTTCATAAATAAAATTGTTGTTCGAATAGAAAATTTCTGTTTGAACGTTTTTACTTCGTCTCGAATATATTCAATTTGATTATTGAAGAATGAATCAACGAGCAATGATATTATACAAGGCGAACCTGTAGCCTGAGCCTCCTCGAGCATCTTCGCTCTTAAGAACGCATTTCTTCTGCAATTATTTTCTTTGGTGCATCCGATAATAGGCATTTTTCACGTCTCTGACGATAGAATTTCTAAAATAAAATTTCGACGTTAGTTTCTATTCCCTATTCTACCACAGATATCTTGTTATTTCATATTTTCGAATGAACTGTATCCTTCAAAATTATTTTTGAAAATAACTATTGCAAAAATAACGCTGGTAATTTCGGAGAAACTGTTTTAAAGTTAAAAAATACGAGAATATGTTTAAAATTAATGCTGAATGGTTTCATGGAACAGCAATTTTCGTCAAATTGCACTTTTTCAACTGTAACTGGATATTAGTAATTATTTAAAAAAGAAACTTACAATACCAACAAAATATTGCGATTGAAATTTTTTTAATTTCGAACGAGAAATGAAACAAAAAGATTAAAGAATTACTCAATAAAAAGAAGAAAAACGTGTTTCATCAATGCATAATTTTATGACAGGATCGTAATGTCGATTAAAACATAACGACCTCCAAAGTTTTGTTTGCTTTACCGAAAAATTCAACTTTCGTCTTAAACATTTCTTTCTATGTTCGATTCATCATTGTGGAAGAAGTAATTTTGCAAGGAACAGTAGTTGATCACAATTGTAAAGGTGACAAATTCAAAGAATTTTCAGCAGCCTACTTTTCACGACGAAGGAAAAGAACGAAGAAGCCTTTGTTTCAGAGCTCGATGCAAGACTATCCGTGACCCAGAAGCGTTTCTTGAAAAAAAAGAAGTTCCAGTCTCTTAACAGTACGCGTTATCTCCTTTACATTTTTTCTTCTTCCTTTTCTTCGGTATCTCGTCTGCGTATTTACACCGTTTCTCGCACGCGGCCGTTTGAAATGTTTCTACTGTCTAATGTAAGATACAGTACGATCAATTATGGGGATATTTGCCTAACTGATGAATTGTCACCTTCGAAAGTATTTCGTTACTTTTTCTTTTAAACTTCTGTTGCATCAAATTTAGACGAATTTTACAAATTTTCAAAGTTTCTTTATCTCAATCTCAAAAAGAAACTCCTTCAAAACGTAACTTTTAAAGGCAACTACTACGAATGCATAATTTTACAAAAAGAAGATTGACGTATAGATCTCAATCTAACCCTTTTCTCTGCAATACGCAACAATTTACACTGTTAATTTGAAATATCTCCTCTAAAACATTTAGGGGGAGTTCCCCTAGCACCGGACGCTTAAGGTTTTCCTTAAATAAATCTCTCTACCTGTGCACACGCGACTGAAACGCGTACAAAACTTATTTTTATTCCTTTTGCCTCCTCTAGGAGATACGCAGAATAACGGCTCGGTAGCGTTTCAATTATTGCAGATATAACTAATGTCCGGTATTAGGTGCCGTCCGGCGTTAAGGGAACTCCCCCTGCTCTATCTTTCTTACTTCATCCTTCACAGACGATGCAAGTTCACCGATACAATTTTCCATCCACTCTCTCGCAATCGAACAAGCTTACGACCGTACTCTCTCACCTGTGTTAACCAGGCACAAAGAGCGAGCCCCCGAAAAAAAAAAAGAAACAACGATCAAGAACTCGGAGTCGGTTTATTCCCGCGTTGTGTGGGCCGAACTTGGACGATTTCGGACGGAGGCGTGCTCGACAATTTTCGGAACTTTCGCAATTATTTAGAGGCTCATTGGTGCAGGAGGAAGTTCTTGATAGAACCGGTATTTATTGAATTACTTCGGGTATCGAGCGCCCGTTCCCGAATATTCCGCATGCTGCAGTTCCCCGGAAACTACTGGTCTGTACGCTTCTGTTTCATAATCGAAATACTTTCGTGTGCGTGCTTTACATTTTCAACCGTACACAAGTAGCAAACGAGCCAAGGTAAAATGACACGAGTCGAAACCTGCATTTCTTTGTGCACCCTTAGTGGGACACTTTATTCAAGTGAATCGCCGCCCTGTACTACTTTGCCCCGATCGTTTTTGTATTTCCGCGAGGAGCAACATTTTCAAGAGCTGGGAGAGAGAGAGAGAGATTTTTTAAACGGCGAGAGGTGGACGGGAAGTTTCATTTACCAGTTGATGCTGCAGGAATTGATGGTCAAAGGTTTTTTTCTATGCTTCGGAGTTACACGGAGGATTTTTTGTTTGCGTTGATAAAAGTTGCAGGTTTGCGAGAGTGGTGAAAGTAAAGAAATTTAAGGAAATAAGATGTGAAAAATGTAGTTTAAATATCTGTTTTGTACGTTTGAAAAAATTTTGGTGCTGTTTGTGGAATTTAGTGGGAAATAATTGGGAATTTCGGGTAGCTTGGAATAGTGGAAATTAGTGGAGAATAATTAGGAATTTTATATAATACGAAATAGTAGAAATTAGTAAAAAAATAATTGGGAATTTCAGAAGATATGAAATAATAGAAATTAGTGAAAAGTAATTGGGAATTTCAGAAGACATGACATAATAGAAATTAGTAGATAATGATTAGGAATTTTAGATAATATGAGATAGAAGAAATTAGTAGGAAATAATTACGAATTTCTTCACTTCAATTTCATATTATTTTCTTCGTCGATATAAAATATGAACCATCAAAAAAATTATACGATATTTTTCATGTCTCGCCGTTTAAAAAACATTTCAAACGACACTAACCCCAGACTATCTCACAGTTGTCGGCAAGAATACTATCTACCAAATATTAAAACCGCAAAAAAAAAAAAAAAAAAAAAATCACCCAGTAGCAATTTACAATTTCCACAATTAAAAACACCGAATTATCCTTCCATAAATTTTCACGATCCTCCACATGTTTAAAAATTCACCAATATACCGCCATTGGTCCCATTCAAACTATCGCAAATTTCAACGAATCAGGTCCTTCGATGAAATTTCTTTTCCATTTAAAAATCGCCAAAATTTCGAATCTCGAATTTCAAATGGTATCCCATTTCAACGCTATAATATTCTTGCCCGCACAACGAGCATCCGTCCGCGCCTTATAACTCGATTACCACGCACGATCAACGTTGGATCCTTTGACACATAGGAAGACACACAATTTGGATCGCAATCGAAATTATCCGGCGTAGCCTTGCTGCGTGATTCGACAGTTGAGAGGTTTTTGCTCGGCTCGCGACTCGGTG